CTAATGTCCTGGCCCCACTAGTGGACCTCCTGATGGCACTGGTATTTCTGGCCACTGTGTGACACAGAGTGTTGGACTGGATGGGCCTTGGGCCTGATCCAACATTGGCGTCTCTTATGTTCTTATGTTATGTTTGTTTTATTTATAACCTGCTCCATCCCAGTAGATATTACTCTGAGAATACTAGCATAATTAAAATTTATTTCTCTAATCTGCATCTGAAATATGCATAGCTACTTCTTTTTTTTATTTTATTTTTTTACTTCTGACTCTAAACTTTCATTTTGAGTTTTGTGGACTTCAGAAAACTGCAGATTTGCATGTATCAAATGTCTTGACTTGTATGTTACTTTATTGTGCATTTTCAAACCAGTTTTTCATGTGATACAAAAGATGAAAGGATCTCAGGGGAAGGAAACAATAGATGTCAGAGCCTGTTTCAGAGTAGCAATACTTTGTATTACAGGAGCAATTTGTTTGGTGTATTTTCCAGTTATACTCCTGTACTAAATATTTGAAGTCCTATATTCAGCAACAATTGAAAGTACTTTTTCAAGATCAGACCCTCAGGAATGTTGCTAGCCCTCAGGAATGCTGCTAGTTCTAGCAGTGCTATCAACATTAGTATGCTACCTTTGATTGTAAGATTTACAGCACTGTCAGTGGGGTTGCAGTATTTTAAAGCACTTCTTTTAAAAGTATTTTATCATTTGGAAGGAGTGCATTCTAAGAGAGCATTTCTTAACATTACCATTTTAGGCTTTGCGTGTGTAGAAGTTAGGGTTAAAAATAGTGCTGAATGTTGCTAAGCCCCACTCTATGTCAGGGTTTTGCATCCCAGCTGATGTCATAAAAAGTATCTGCATACTTTGTCACTGAATTCATAAAAGTGGGTTTTATACAAAACCCCCCAAGTGAATAGTTGCACGTAAGAAATAGAGGCATTGTGTTACCATTTATTACAGATTATGATCCAATTATCAAGTTAATGCCATCTTCCTAATGTATGCGTGTACAATGATTTTTTTTACAAGCTTGTTCATGGATAATTAAGGAATCAGTTATCCTTGGATATTTAAGAGCTGTGTGTGCTGGTTGTATATCTCTGAACAAGCATAACAAATGTTTGTTTTTTTCCCAGGCCTTCTCTACTGTGGGAACTCCAGATTATATTGCTCCAGAGGTCTTCATGCAGACTGGATACAATAAACTGTGTGACTGGTGGTCACTTGGGGTCATTATGTATGAAATGCTAATTGGTATGGGACTTAATATGCCTGAATTCTTACAGTAACTTGGTTTATGGAATTTCCATAATATCTCTCACACACTTGTCCCTTATTTCATTTCTATGCTGTATTGCACATTCAGCTCTGCTGTTTGGTTTCTTCCATTTGTTTTAATTTACAGTTGTGTTTTTTGACCTAATGCATGGTTAAAGAGTGGGTGGCTAGGAGTAGGTAATCTTTATTAATCACTATTTCTACAATTCCTTTTTAGGTTACCCTCCTTTTTGCTCAGAGACTCCTCAAGAAACGTATAAGAAAGTTATGAATTGGAAAGAGACTCTAATATTCCCTCCAGAAGTTCCAATCTCTGAAAGAGCTAAAGATCTTATTCTAAGGTACCAGATCAGTAACTGTGTCTGTTAAGAAATATTGGGGCATGGCAAGACCTACACTTCTGTCTTTCATCATGCAAACTACAAATTTTGCAGGGTTCAGTGAGGGACCGCCTTTCCCCAGAGAGCACTACGGGCAGGGGTCACAAAACCAATTGGCTCTCTCAGGCCCCGAGGATGCCAGGCTGGCTGCAACCAGGGCCAGGGCTTTTTCGGTGGCGGCTCCATACTGGTGGAATGAGCTCCCAGAAGAGAGCTCATACCCTGCGGGACCTTTTACAATTCCGTAGGGCCTGCAAGACGGAGCTCTTCCACCGGGCCTTCAACTAGGAGCCACCACCATTATCAGTAACAACGGAAACTTATAGAGCCTGGCCCTTGGTTTGCTACTGACAGCCTGTGCCTGCCAATTATATCTGAGAAGGTCAGCAAGCTGAATATTTAGACAAGCATGGTTTGCACTCATGTGGTACCACCATCTTTATATCAAAGAACGCTGCTAGCACTATTGTATTGTTTTAATGAACTTCTTTTAGATGTTTTATGGTAATTTGATTGTTATTTGTGTATTTACCTTGTGTAAGCCGTCCTGGGCCTGTTTTGGTGGGGAGGACGGAGTATGAATTGGAAAAATAAAATAAAAATGTTATTTTGGTGGTAGGCTGCCTTTTTTGTGAATTTAAATATTTTGTCCAGTTTTTAAATATTCTGTCGAAGTATCACTCAGTCAATGCTCCCTCTAAACTGTGGAGTCTTGTGAGCAAAAATTCTACTTTGTGAGCTACTGGCATTAAAGTTGTGAGTGAGCAATTTGGCTATTGCATAAATTAGTTTGCCCTGGAGCCATCCGTCCTAAGCTAAGACAAAAATGTGTGAGCGGGAATCTAAACAACTGTAAGCTAGCTCACACTATCTCGGCTTAGGGGGAACACTGCACTCGGGACTGAGAGTGCTCATAATCTAATAGCATTATGAATTGATCCATTTGGGATTAAGTATCTAGTCATTTTTTTTCCAATTTGTGATAGAACTGTCCCCAGAATTTCTATGTTGCACAAAACTACAGACTGTATACAAGTCCCCGGACCCCAACTTCCCACATTCTTTCTAACAGAAATCTACATATTATAGCCATATATGATGTATCCAGATTGGTATCATATACCTCCTGGATAACATTTATATGATTATTCTTAAATGTAAGTGGTTGGAGACTTGGACATAGCTTTTTCTTAGCAAACGTTACCCTGGTAGAAGAACTTTTTAATTCTGAAAATGCTTTGAGTTTTAAACTGTCTGTATACTTCTTTGTGTGTGTATGTTGCTTCCAACTTATCCAGCTAATTAGTGGTGAATGAGAGCGCCTGTTCCTTATGTCCTCTGTACTTTACAGAGGTTTTAAGGAGAATTGCCCTCTCCTTCATCTGAGCTACTGTGAAGAGCAAGATAAATTTGTGCTGCTTTCAGTCATTTTGGAAGTCTAGTTCTGCTATGAAAACTTACCTCCTTCCATTCTCTGTGAATTGCAGAAGACTTGGGGAGGAGGCTGTCTAGGAAGTACAGGCAAGTGTGTGCTGCTTGATTTTCAGGGAAGACCTGTGCATTTTTAAAAAATATTTTTATATACACACATGCACACACGTGTAGTGGGCTTGGAACCATGATTACTCCTTCTGTGATGGGTGCCTGAAGGAAAATCAGAAGCATGGTAGTTCTCATGTTCCTCCTAATTTCCTTGGGATTCCGATAATGCAAAAGATATTGTCCCATCCATTGCTTTGACTAGCATCCTATGCAAAGTTTCAGTATCTTAAACAACAAAGCTCAGTTATAATACACAGACATTGTTCTATTTTTTTTTTAATAAATGAAAGCCTGCCTTAAAACAGATTCCATTGAAAGAAATTGTACTGAACCACATAGGATTGTGTCCTGCCAGCTTTTCCACTGGTGGGACTGCTTACCAGACTGTGCCATAAATACTGATTACTGTGTGGATAAATGCCACATGGCTGGAATAAGGAGGGGAATGAGGGCAGAGTAGAGAATCTTGTGTGATCGAACTCATTTATTTGTACATTCAGTAGTTTGTATTTAATTTTTCTTAATTTCAAATGCCGCATGCTGCATTTCTCCCCCACAGATTTTGCTGTGAATGGGAACACCGAATTGGTGCTCCAGGTGTTGAAGAAATCAAAACAAACCCCTTTTTTGAAGGGGTGGACTGGGAGCATATCAGGTACAAACAACATGGTCAGATTTTTCTTACCTCCCTCTTCTTTCTAGTAAACTAAATCTTGTTTACATTTTAGTTCAATAATAACTTTAGTAATAGGGAGGACCTGTACAGTGAGTGTTTGTAAGGCAAAACTTTCACCCTTTGTATTAACTTATTTGAGTTTCACACACATTAATTGAACCCCAAATCCAAGTGATCAATAGTTTTTGTTCTGACTGCAAAATCTAATCCTGACTCATTGTTATCAGGGAGAGACCTGCTGCAATATCAATAGAAATTAAAAGTATTGATGATACGTCAAACTTCGATGAATTTCCAGAATCTGATATCCTTAAACCAGCAGGTAAATATTGCTGCTTCTGTTTTTAATGTGTTCACTGTGGTGTAGGTTTCTGATCTTTTGCTGGTTTTTCAGAGTTAACCTGTTCATTTTAAAAAATGCTCTAGATTTACTGCCAGTCTGATTCTGCAAATCCTTATATGCTCACTCTTCTACTGAATTCATGCTTGGTGTGATGACATGGTTTGCCTGAGAGGGCTGCCCTGTCTGGACACACGGGCCACAAGCTAACACAGGTAAACATGCTCAAGCCTTCAGGGGGCTGTGTACAGTTAACGGATTGTGGCCAGTGTAAATTTAGGGCCATGAACTAAATCTGAGTGATTTTCTCATTCTGATTTTGTCAAATAATTTCTTACCTGTTGTATTACCAGTAAATTTATTGCAAAATAAAGCAACATTGAAATTTTTAAAGAGTGAGCAAAATATACTTTTACCTGAAAATAATTTAACTGCAATAGGGAAAATGTGAGAACTGATAGTGTTAATTTTATGGCCTTTAGTGGTGTGGGCTTGATTGCATAATTGACAACAAGCAGCAGAATGGCTTTGTAGTAGTCTTTGTTAAATATCTGTTTCTGTTTTTAACATGTTTCTAAGTCTAATGTTACCTGGTAGATTTAGTTGGAAAGCATTTTCCCATATAGCAAACATTAGTATGCTAAGTTAAAGCAGGTGGCTTATTCCAGTCATAGGAGCAGTAAAACCTGCAGGTAAACAGGACTGTTTACATATTCTGGGAGTTCATCAGGGATGCGGAAAAATGGTTCTGTAAGTTAACCAAAAGAAAAACACACACACACACCCCCAGCCAGCCAGTATGCTATAGTGATTAGACTAGATTGCGGTGATGCAGTTAGGGAATCCCACTCTGCAACTTTCTGGATGTCCTTGGGCTAGTGACTCAGCCTAACCTGCCTCACAAGATGGTTGTGAGTAGGGATAGGAATGAATGGGAAAAATGCGATTCATGTTGGTTTGTGATTCATGACTGAACTAGGAGGTTTGTTTGCAAACTGAACTGGCTGGTGGACCTGTAAACCCTGAGCAACAGCTGAGTGGTGGGGAGTGCCTCCCTCCTGCTCAGCTGTTTTTGCAGCTTTCCTGGGAAACAAAAAGGGACCTTTAAACCCCAGCTTTCTGCTCTGTCCACAAACTGCCATGAACGGCTTCAAAAGTTAGTGGAAGTTCATGATGGTAGTCCCATCACAAACTTCGGTTTGCGAACCACAAGCAGGGCAAAATTTGTGACGAATTTTGCTTTGTGGTTTGGTTCATGCCCATCCCTAGTTGTGAGATAAAATGGATGAAAAGAATAATGCATGATACCCTGAGCGCCCTGAGAGCCAGCATGGTGTAGAGGTTAAGAGCGGTGGACTCTAATCTGGAGAACTGGGTTTGATTCCCCACTCTTCCACATGAAGCCTGCTGGGTGCCCTTGGACCAGTCACAGTTCTCTTAGAACTCTTTCAACCCCACCTACCTCACAGGGTGCCTCTGGGGGGGGGAAGGGAATGTGATTGTAAGCTGCTTTGAGACTCCTTAAGGTAGAGAAAAGGGGAGTATAAAAGCCTACTTTTCTTCTTTGGAGGAAGAAGCTGACTGCTCTGCACAAACATCTGAAAACTCAGAGTCCTGGAGGTGGAATTTGCCAACAATTTACCCCTTCCCTTCTAAGATCCCTTGCAGGCCTCTATCTTGTTCCCTTTAATATCAGATTTCATAGTCAGGTCCTTATCAGTAGGCTCTCACTGAAAAGTTAGGGGTTTCTGCATGTCCCCTTCCAAAGCAGAAAAATGATTTTGCAAGTGTGTGTGTGTGTGTGGGGGGGGGTATCTGTCAGAGTAATAACTATAATTATTGTCCTCAGATTGAGAGTAGTTAAAGGGAGAAGAAAATGGTCTGCTGAAACCCATAATATCTTATCCTAGAGGGAGAAGGATATTCCCCGGGGTTTTTTTCCTCCCTCCCTTTTGCATTACTTAACCAGGCATTCGTTTGTTGTAGACTATTCATACTAAAATAACTTCTATATGCTTGCTTTCTTCAGTGACCACAAGTAACCATCCAGAGACAGACTACAAGAACAAAGACTGGGTCTTTATCAATTACACATACAAGCGTTTTGAGGGCTTGACAGCTCGAGGGGCAATACCATCCTACATGAAAGCAGGAAAGTAGTGACTTGTAACAGAACTATTTCTGAGCCTTGGTTCTTGCTCGTCAGCACAAATTCTTTTTCTAGCCTTCCAAGCTTTACCTGCGGACTGTGAACTTAAAGAGTGCAAGATAACATCTTTATGCACCATTTACATAAAAATGGATTTATCATGGGAATATTTCCACAAATGGCACTTGTGGCCTGCCTTTGCAAGATTTATTGTGGATGTAGGTTCTTCTGGCTTTAGTTAAGATTCTGAAGACTGCTTGTTCAACAAGGAGGAAAGAGCAAACTTTACTAGCATTGCAAAGCATAGCATAATTTGAGTTGTTTTGTGTGTTTCTGTTTTTACAAGTGCTGTGCTAAGCACTGTTCTAAGGGCTAAAGTAATTTAAAGAAACAGCAATAACTAGTATAAGAGAATTCTTGGTAAGTTACGTAATAGGAGGGCAAAACCAGTATTGCCTTAAAGGTCACTAGAGTATTGTATACTTTGGTCAAAAGCTTTCTGGATAGCAATTTTTATTCCAACTCAACAATAGCCTCAAACCTGCTGCACTTTACTCTTGGTACTAAATTAGTGACTCTCCAGTGTTAAACTTTTTCTAAATTTCCATCTTGCTGATCATGTTGCTTTTTGTGAGCAGTACCAAGAAAAGAGCATGATTACTAATCAGATTTAGTCTATGTAACTAACTTAGTAAAAAGCAAATCACTGTAAATAATAGCACACAATAACTAATATGACAAGAAGCCCTGTCCCTATAAATCTGCAGGGTGTGTGTAAAGATGCCTTTCCCCATGTCAGTAATTGCCAGAGAAGAATAGTAATGTGTAACATTTCAGCATTGTATTGTTCTGGAGAACTTAATCCTTTGCAGCTTGGAAACCAAGAGCCCTTAAGTGCCTTCAGGATGCTTCCTGTGCACAGTGCTAGTTAAAACACTTAGGCTAGTGGGATTTTAGTAATCTGACTTGATTGCTCAAGGTTTCTGTGTAGTTCCACACCTTGGACTCTGCTTGTGCTATTGGGTGGCATTCATTCTCTTTAATGTTCAGATTATCCAGTTGAACTCTTCGTAATACACTAGATTACTATTATTTAGCATCTCCACATTGTTCACCATTGCCACCTGCTGCCCTATACATGCAGCTCTTTGAAATACACAGGAGGATGTGTTTGAGTTATTGATGACATGCTCCTGAGAGAGAATGGGTGTACAAAAGGAGACCTGATACACTGGGGAGCCAAAAATGAAGGCAGAAAGAATGGAATGAAGATTCAATTTGTGTTAATTTGAATCTTTCCTTAACCTCCTGCAGTTTCATCATTGATGTGGAAATAGGTTAAAAACAGCTGAAGTGTTGCTTGCCAAATAATTGGCTTCTTAGAAGAGTTGATGGATCCTTCCATAGTGTTTCAATAAAAGATGAATCTATTCTCGAATATAAGAAGGCTGTTCTGGTATACTGTATCATCAGATGGGATAGGGAAATAAAATATCCCATTGTTTTTTCACAATAAAGCAATTATATGTACTTTTCCAGAATGTGTCCCTTATCTCTACTGGAGAAGTTTGCAAGATCTTTTTTGGTACTTTCCCCAACCTGAGTGGTTCTACCATGTCAGGACTGAAACTGCCCTACAGGGATGTTCCTAGTTCCAACACCTGGAACCGCAAGCAACCTCCCCAAGACCTGGCAAAGCCACCAAACCACTTTACCATGAGTTCCTGCTAGCACAGTAACCAATAAGTATAGAGAGGCCTCCCAGTTGAGAATGATAAGATTACAGAAACAACCGGGAAGATGTTTATATAATGCAAAAGATACGATATTGAAATTTATACAAATATCCATAAAGTGCTAAGTACATAAATTCATCAAAATCACCTAATAGTTCATACATAAGAATCACAATATATATTATAACGAAGCTTCCGGTTTGTGTCTTCGTTTCAATCCTAAGCTTCCTCAGAAGTAAATTCTCTTATTCATCATTTTGCATTTAGTGAGTGTCGTCTCTTTTTGTTTTCCAATAATTTTCTCATTGCTTTTCAAAGCTTATGTTCCAAATAGGAAACAACAGCCTTCATATTAGGCTCCAGTCCCGTCTGCTGCGTGCTATAAGGCTAGAATGATTTTGATGAATTTATGTAGTTAGCACTTTAAATATTGTATTACACTTTGTGGACATTTGTATTCATTTCAATATAGTATCTTTTGCATTATATAAATGTCTTCCCAGTTGTTTCTGTAATCTTAGCACAGTAACCAAACCAGATATAATGTAAAGCTGTTTTATCTCTAAAAGAGAGCAAAATAATTAAAATTACAGTACATTCTCTATTAGGTCCAAGAGTGACAAAAATAACAAAACTCACTACGTACCACATGCGATAGCTGCTGTAAAGATCGTAAATCTTCTGTGAGCAATTCAATGTTAGCAAGCAAAAGAATACGTCAGACCATAGCACAAGTAGGGGTATGCAGGAAGGTATTTTTTTAGGTTCGGATATATTGAACCCGGAAAACATTGGTATTTTCCGATATTCCCAAATCCCAATACAGGTATGGTATTAACATTTGGGAAACTCGGTTTGTTTGTTTTTTGCTTCATTATACCCTGTGGGGGACCATTATAGTCAACAGTCTCCATAGCGTATCTTGGGGGAGGGACTGTTTTTTGAGGCAGAGGCACCAAATTTGTAGCCTCTCCTCAAACCTCCCAAGTTAAAAAAACCGGTGCCTCCATTGCTTTCAATGGAGGAAAAAAGGTGTTTAAAGGAATTGCAGTCCTTTTACATGCCTTCTACAAGCCGCGTGACTCTGCAGCAAGAGTCCGAAGGTGTTTAAGGGCTTACAGTCCTTTTAAACACCTTCTCCAAGTGGCGAGTTCACCTGAAAGGCGTGTAAAGTGACTGCAAGCCCTTTAAATGCCTTTGGAGTTGACTCGCTGCGGAGTCATGCAGCTTGGAGAAGGCATTTAAAGGGATGGTTGCCCCTTTAAACACCTTTAAGACTATCTGGCAATTCTAGAAATCCCAAATGTTTTTGGGGACCAGCCATTTTGGATATCTGAAAAATAAGACAGAGCTATATTCTGCTGAAAAAATATCTGGAAAATATCAAGTATTTAAATTATTTTTTACTCTGATTTAGCCAAATGCATACCCCTAGGCACAATACAGAGTACTACCTTAAACCTCATATACAGATGTCAGATAGGCCAAGGAAAAAGAGAAAGGAAGATCATCCAAAACCCCTATGCCCAATTATGGGTTTTGATGTACAGAATCAGATGATACACCTCAATGAAATCCTTCCCGTTAGGAACCTTTCCAAAAACACTTCCATGTACTCTGCCTCTTTTCTCCTCCCGTCCTTTTATTAAAGCTGGCCTGGTTCTCAAAAATGGTGCCTAATTAATATGTTCCACTGCCAGACCTTGGCAGAGAGATACGGACATATTCCCAAGTCAGGAATATCTGCTTAGCTTGACTAAGTCTTCTGATACTCCAGCTACCCTCTAGGTGGAAGAGGGTACAATTGCATCACATGCCCCCCTTCATGGAAGCTGAAGTCCATGGCTATGCCATGGCTGAAGTTCCATAAAAATCTACATCATGTGATTTCCAATAATAAGCAGCAAGGCATTTAGCCGTATAGCCAAGGTAAATAATTGAGTGAATTAAGCATGGCAGCATTAGCATAACGAAGGAAGCATAGAAACATTAACAGCCAGAAATGTATTAACATGACAGGCTGTCAGCCACAACATTTTGGCTACTTTTTGTAGGTGATTTCAGATTGAAAGTCTGTAAAGCAGGTATCCTATGTATTATGTAGTGAGTTCTGTTGTTTTTGTCACTCTTGGACCTAATAGAGAATGTACTAGAATTGTATTTTTTAGAAATAAAGGAGCTTTATAAATAAAATCGCTTTATATCTGGTTTGATTACTATGTGAGCAAAAATCACTTTGGAACTCATAGTAAAGTGATTTTGCAGCTTTACCAGGTTTTGGGAGGTTGTTTGGGGTTCCAGATGTTGAGACTGAGAACATTTCTGTAGGGCAGTTTTAGTACTGACATTACAGACGTGGAACTACACAGAGCTTCTATGAAAAATGTTTTACCTTAGGATGATGGTAATGAAATGTTTTGCATTTTTAAGCTGCAGAGAGAGTACAGCGGAGTAACTGTTTTTTCCTGTCCCTAGTTTGTAATTAGTGTGTTCCAATGACGTGCCCCACAGAAGGTAGGGCTAGAATTTTGCTTGATTGCTAGATAGATAAAGGTGGTTTAAAATTACATTTCTGGTGCTTGCTGAATATTGAAAATATGTAGCATATGTAACTGGTGCTTATCAAACCTTTTCTTTAAAACCTATAGAAGCCTCAGGGTAACCTGATTGCCTAGAGACCTATTCAGCCAATTGCACAAAAGGGAAGAAAACAAGATTGTTGTGTGCTACCTGTTTATGTTATTATGACCATTTAGTGAAGCATTTCTGTGCCACAGTGTGATAGTCAAGTGCGAGCATTGTATGTACATGAGCAAAATTGAATTGCCGCGCTAGTTATAATTTTTCTTAGTCTTTTACCATTTTTTCTGGAAGGTTTATTTTGTGAGAATGAGTGCTTATTGCTGCAAGCAGGAATGTAATCCTCAGAGTCGTCTAGACTCAGTAGCTGCCAAGATTGGAGTTGGTCACCTGTTGTACTTTTCATTGATACCAGTGGAGACTACCTATAAAGGGGCACAGGATGCATCCACAAGGACTTATGGAATTGAGACTTATGCACCTGAAACATCAGTCTGTGGTACTTCTTTAAGAAGGGTGAAAAACCAGCCATTTTGCTCACATAGGAGCATTATATTCTGGATTCCTGTTCTTAAACAGAACCAATGCTAAAACAGGGGTATTCACTAAGCAGACCATTCCAGTGCAGATGTCACGTTGACTGTCTTGCCTGCAAGTAAGAGAGCAGGACATAGCATCATGAACTTCCTCTCAATACTCCCCATCTCCCTTTTCTTGCCTTAAACACAGTTAAGCATTATGGCAGCAGTGATGTGAAATCCACAGGACCTAGATCCTTTAATAGAGATGAAAAGGAGGGCAAATCTCATTGTCTTGTAGCCTTCTAAGATGGTAGTTTTGGAGAATGGGGCACTCCCCAGTAATATAAATTACTCATGTAATTGGAGTACTGGTTTATAGTCACATGGTTGGCTCCCAGTCTGGTACTGCTGGCCCTGCCATCCCTGGTTGTGTCTGTACCAACTATAATATGCTCTTAAAAATCAGTCTTTCTAGGGTGGCACATTTAATTCTTTGAAAACAGTGATTTTACACATTCTACTAGTTTACACCAGTTCACATATTTTCCTGTTTTATGCCGTACTGAGGTATGAGGTATTTAGTAGTGCTGAGGTCTTTCTATCATACCATGAAAGCTGCAAAATTACACATTGGCATGTGTGGGTGCAGGAGAAAATCCAGCTTCCTGGGTGAGGTGAATATAAAAGCAATGCTGCCAGTTGTGTGTGGTTCCTAGCACAATGTTGCAGTTAGGTAGTATTTATCCAATGTGCCTGGGTTCTGCCATATTTTGGCAGATGAAAATTGGTTTTATCTACAGACAGCTGTTACTAATTGTAATAGAAAATTAGTATACTTTGTATGTGGTTCTGGGGTTTTGTGTGAAGGCCAACTTTTTATGGAACTATCTTTACATTCTGAGCTGTTTTTTTAAAAAATCCTTTTCAATAAATGTAGTTTTGCTAATGTTTGAAGATTATTTTTGTTAAACAAAAAGCAAGTTCTGACACCTTCCCAACTGCATAAGTAAAAGTTAACAGTATGTCCTAATTAGTGAAAGAATAAGTAATGCAAAAGTTTACCTATTCCACTAGTGGAATTTAGGATTTTATACACACACTCATCCTTGCTTAGCAGTCAGTGTAG